GGGGTTCCATGGAAGGTTAAGCTACATGTCAAAGGATCGAGGGACTTCTGTTGGTACGACACGGCACTTCCTTTTGGGTTTCATGTAATGATGACGATGTTGAGACGTTACATTAATTATCATCAATCATTCTCTCACAACCTTCCATTCCAAATTAATAGTCCTAGTTCTTACAATGAGACCCCAGCACTGTTTATTCACTATGCAGTAAAAAAGAAGAAGAATGACGTTAAAAAAATGACTATCGGATGCACCTAAGGTTTTTTTTAAATGTAGTTTACAACCTTTTTGCGTCAAGACACTTGTGCAATATTTGGAAATATCAGAATGCCTTACTCCCATGGACTTTTAAACATTGATATAATAATATTAAATTATCTCTACTAAATAGGCGTGGTCTTAAGATTTAAAAAATGGGTTTTCTTCAGCATAAAAGATATTTTTACTATATATATATATATATATATATATATATATATATATATATATATATATATATATATAACTTTTGGGTATTGTTTTTGCTACAAAATGTACCTTAAATATCCATTTGATACAACTTTGTTATACTTTTCAAACCTAAACATTACCATAGTTCGCTTTTTACCTTTACGGACTGCACAGCTCCAAAATCTTTGTAACCTTACAAGTTTTTTGTGAACAAATAAGATGCACATTTTTGAAAGAAATATAATGCTTCTAAACAAAGACAAATAAAAGCTATTATAAATTTTGCAAAATTATTATAAATTTTATAGTCATGATTGATAACTTTGTAATAAATGGTTACTCCCTGTTTGCCCCCAAAGCTTTAATGCAACTAGGCATGCTACAGGCGCGGACCAGGATTTTCTTCCAGGAGGAATCCACTCCCAGTGAAAAAAACTCCAACCCAAAAATTTAAATTTAAATTTTACGTTTAAAAACGTAAATATCATTTCCCAACCGTGAAAAACACCTCTTTCGTGGTGGTGATGGTGGGGTCTACGTTTTCTAGGGGGGTGGGTGGGTTCCAAAGTCATTTTTTTTGTTTGCTTCAGTATATACTTGTGAGGACATACGCAACGTACTTTACCTGCTGATAATTTTTCAAGATATTCTTAATTTCAGATAATAGTGCCATCAGATGTTTGTAGACATAAAATCAGAATGCATTACCAGGGTTTTTGAAAAGATATCAAATGATGGAAATTCTTGTATAATTCAGAGAAAAATTTACAAAAATTATTAAACATATATTTTAGATGTTTTGTTTATCCAAACTTGTTCTAGAAGAAGTGCACAATAGCATATATAGACAATAAAATGTAGCACACAGTTCCTTTAAGTATTGGAACTCTTCAACTCCAGGGAAAAAGACAGTAAAGTTCAAACTACGTTGCGTATGTCCTTATTTATTTGTTATTTTCAACTTTCGTCAGAATTAGATTCTGAAAGATGCTACTATCATGTTTTTGCTTAGTACCTGTTAGTTTCCAGATAATTATTTGTATTTCAACAGAACTTGGCACAGTGCCATAACTCATAAAGCACAGAGAATTTCTAAAACACGATGCAGGTTCTACCCTTTCGTGGTCAGGAAATAGTCTTGATTTGAATAAAGAAGACTCTGGCTCAGAACATGCAATCGACTAAAATAATATGTAGGAGGCAATCCAGCAGGAATGATACTCAATTTCAAATATTCTCTGTCAAACTTAACCCACCACATGACTAGTCGCATCAAGGCTGTTATTCGTGCCAAGTGGGGGGGGGGGGGGGGGTATCTAAGTATTACAAACTAAAAATATCAATCATGAAAATAAAATCTATAATTTTGCAAAATTTACCATATCTTTTGTTTGTCTTTTTGTTTAGAGGCATTATGTTTCCTTCAAAAATAAGCATTTTTAGAGGTTCGTTCCTGAGCTTTTGAGCAGATTTTTGATTTGACCTCTTGTTTTAAAAAATTCTGCATAATGTTGTAGTTCTTACAATATTTGGATTCTACAATGCTAATTAAACTAGATGTTTATATTCAATTAAGACCCCATGATTAAATTCCATACCGAAAGAATTAAGTGAGGCAATGTATTTTGTGGCTGAAGGTTATTTAGAAGAACATAAACAATTTTTCTCTTTCGAAGTAATTACAGTATTGTTAAGTTTGAATTCCTATTTTTACACGCAGACTGCACAGAATTATTTTGTGCAGTGAAATATTTTATGCTGGTCCTAAATCATATATCAAATTAACTGTCATGAATTCCATCATGATATTTTACAAATATAGCAAATATATTGTGAGAGTCCAGGGGAAAAATAGCCCAATTTATTTTTTGAGTGCAAAAAGGTCAAATATTTGACTATGCGTAGAAATATGAAACTTTTTTGTTGTCAGAAATTTTAATGTGACTATTAAGATGAAAAAAAAAACTGTGTTTGTTCACGTGATTTATTTGGATAAAAAATAGGAGGAAAAACTTTGAAAAATTGGTTTATGTGTAAGACGTAATTACAGGCAAAAAGGTCATATTTTAAAATGCTCTGTATGACCAAAAGAAGCGCATTGACCCCCATTTTTTTTTTATTTTTAATTAAGCTATGTGTAAAGATTCTAAAAATAAATTTGATAAAAAAAATTCTCAATACTTTTGATAATATGATTCAACCTCCAGAATTTGTTCATAAAAGCATGTAAGGTTAAAAAAAATTTTGAAATGTACATATACCCTGTCTTTGTCAACAAAATCATAGACGGTATAGTGAAAATTGGTATTCTGACAATAAAACAAGACTACATAAATTTCTCTGTCTTAAAGCACATTTTGTGATAGGAGTGATCTATGAAGATAACGAACAAAAAGTCAAAAAAAAAATCAAAAGTCATTGAAACAATACACATTGGGAGCAGAGCAAACACGGACCTCAAGAAAAACTTCAGAGGTGGGATCAGGTGCATCCCCTGTCGACCGGTTACACCCGCCGTGTGCTCCTTGTCATAATCGGGCAAACGGAAAAATCCGTAGACAATTCAGTATGAAAATAATGGCCTAAAAAGTTGTATGAAAAAGTCGGTCAACATTCAATTTTTACGACTGATTGTATTTGCTGACAAGGTCTTTGTATCGACCATAGAATTTCCGAAATGTTGACTTTAAACGAGACAGGTGATATCTTTGTACCATCAATTTAGTTGTCAATAGCTTGCCTCGTTTTAAAAATTGTTCTAACGTAGAGCATGTTCTTGCGTATCAAATCGACTGGGAGACATGAACTCCATATGCAAGTGATAATCATTATGATATATTGGTACATAAATAACGGGAGTTGACAATAGGAAAAGTGAAGTCACGTTTATCATAAAGTTATATTATCCTGTATCTGTACTTGATTAAAGCCATTAGTTTGCGGTTGCATAGAGGGAAAAGATGCAAAAAGTAGTTTGTCATTCATGGGTTAAATAAGTTCTTAATATTTACATTGGTTATATAATTTGAACTTACTGACGTCATGTCTGAGCTCCTGAAACAAGCATCCACAATTGCTTACTGCATCTTTGTTATCAAAAACAAGTATTGTGAATACTGTTCCAGTAATTTTAATTTTAAAGAAAATACTCATACAGGTAATGCTTGCTGCCTAATCCAATTATTTTAACAAAAAATGTAAAATTAAATAAATTCAAATAAAATTAATTTTGAGAAGAAAGAACAAAACATGAAAAATTTACAGCATATCTCTTAATCAATGGATATCTAAAACTGCACTGGTAATAAGTTTAAATTGTTTAATATGGAATTTTTCTCATTTAGGATAACTAATTAACTCTACTCTATTAAATAATCTAGATGATAAATCAAGATTATCAGTATGTGAAAATAAGTAGAAATAAAACCACGGTTTGAGAACATTGCAGGTTACGTACCTGGTCATCTTTTTTTCTAGATGTTTAAAATGCGCGTGGAAATAATGACTACCTTATCAGATAGGGCGTTTGAACTGTCTAGTTCTACATCATTTTGAAGGAATGTGGCAAATACCCTGTGGCAGGTACGAACTCTGGTGTCCATTCTCTAGTAAATTCCCGTATTACTCAATCAAGAAGATGTCAAAAATCAAAGGAGTTGCAATTCCCTAACTTTAAAGAGACAAACTTTTTTGTTACTCCAAAACGACTACCTGCCAATTTTACACATAGACAAGCGTTTCTGTTGTGTAAAATTCGTGGTAAATCATTCTAATGTGAATGTAAAGTATATAGCATGGCAAGCCTTGACAATGGTTAACCTAGAGATGATTTCGCCCACATTAAGAGGCTACTATGTCTAGAGAGATGATTCCTTTAGTATTTCTTCAGAACTAAAAGAATTCAAAAATAAATCTGCACATTAATCAACGATCCCTCAGACGTAGATGAGCTTAAACAAAAGCAACAACAGACCTTTCCTGACAAAAAGTACACACAAAGGTTCCATCCCTAATTTACATGATAAAAGTCTAAGATTGAGCTTTTTCTGTTCATCAATTATACATGTATACATGGTAAATACAAAGAATATTTCTTCCGTCTATGATCTTCTTTTGTTTCACTTTATTTCTGTGACCTTTCCAATTTGTTTTCCTTTCGTGCTATATAAAGTACGCAAAACATTTAATTCACTTTACGATGGTGGACCGCAAATTTTACTAATTTCCTATCATCAAACCACTTTCTTCACTCAAGAACTTAAAATATTTCAAGTCTGTCTAAATATATAAAATAATTTGAGATATGTATTCGACAAAACTTACAAGTAGATATTATACATGTAGTTGTGGATAAGATTTTGTTAGAACTGTGGATAAGATTTTGCTTAGAACTTAAGATAAATACCTTACTATCTGGGATGTCATAACTTTATTCATACGACATGCTTTTTCCCTCTAGAATTTTAGGTTTTTGGTTCTGCTTCCTTTTTAGAAGTCCCTGTTATGGGACTTCAGTTATCATTAATCTTGTTTGCCCAACAAAACCAAGATTCCGTTGTTTCATTTATTAATTTACTTGCATATACATCAACGTTCACTATATAGTTCATACAATAAAACAACTTAAAATATAATCAATTTAAAGTACAATATATAACAATCATTCCTGACATTAACAAAAGAAGTCTTCAGCAGCGAAACTCCTATACTTAAGGACCGAATACACTGTACTTCTTATTCTTCATAATCACGTAATTTTTAGATAATATCATTGACATTTCATTCGTGTTCGAAGCTAATTGAACTTGGTATTAAAGTTTGACACATTCTGAAGGTCACAGGGGATCTATCGAATTCCTAAGGCCTTGATTAATGTTCTTCACACTTACGTCTTCTATAGGTTCGACTGGTCCTTGGTCCTATCAGCCGATTCGTTTTTCATTGTTTTCAGCCGATTACTCATCCAATTAGCCTGCAAATACCAAAAGTTTATAAAGTCTTTTGAATATCAAATTTAAATTTTGATTAAAATTTGGAATAATTTGACGATTTAATTGACTTATTTACCGTCACAAACCAGTAGGAATTTTCACGGAATATTAGTCTTGATAAAAAGTTCATGGACAATACAGGGGATATAACATGTAAATGCAGGTGGTTCACGGACGTAAAAGGTGGCCAGTGAAATCCAAACCTATTAAAAAGAAATATTTATACTTGATTTATGATCAGAAAAGAATTTCATTATAGATAGATATTACTTCATATTTTGACAAGGGTCAGTTTGACGTAGAATTTCATATAAAACAATATTAGAAATGTCAGACTTAAACAACTCAATTATAGGAGAAGGGCCAGTATTTACAGTCATCTCTAAAACAGTCTCATTTAAAAAAAAATACAAAAAAAAAAAAAAAACATATTTCGCATTGAACAAAAGATAAATTCTTACAGCTACAAACTTTTTTTATGCTTAATACTTTGCACGCAAAAACTTTAAAAGGTTAACTGCAAAGGTGTTTGCGAAATCGAAATTCTGAAACCTTATTGCACATCTACAAAACACTCCCAGTCATTTTAAATTATCAATGGGCTACTGAGAAAAATGTAAGAAGAGTTAAGAGAACCACTTTTTTTTGTAGAAAAAGTTTTTAAACCCCCAATCCGCCCCAGGGTGGAAATTAAAACTTTGAAACTTTATTGCACATCTACAGGACGCTCCCAATAATATTCTAAATTATGAATTGGCTACTGCAAAAATTTAAGAGGGGTCAAAGGAACAATGTTTTTGTAGAAAAAATGCGTTTGATCCCCAATTGCCCCCAGGGTGAAAATTCTGAAACCTTAATGCACATCTACAGGACATACCTGATTAAATTCCAAAATATGAATGGGCTACTACGAAAAATGTAAGAGGAATTAATGGAACCGGGGTTTTATAGAAATACATGCTTTTTTGCATCCCCAGGGCGAATAGCGAAATTCCAAAATCTATTTTCACATGTACAGGGGACATACAATCATTTTCCAAAAGATGAGAAGACTGCTGTTTAAATGTAGGAGTAGTTAGAGGAAGAAGATAGTGTGATAGACGGATGGACAGAACAGGGTTACGACAATATACTCAAACTTGCTTTAGAAAGTACGGGTATAGAAAATATAAGAATTAATTAATAAAATTACGTTGAGTTTAACTGTTTTGCCTTTATTTGAACAAAGAAACGTTGGTGTATTCTTAAAAAAAAGACACACATGTACGATAAAAAGAAAGTTGAAGAAAACTCAACTGCAGATTATGAAATAAAAGAAAATAAAGAAAAAAATCGAGACTTTAAAAAAATGCATCTTATAACGGTTTACCATTCTCTACACATTCTTTGAACAAATTTTCTTGCAAAGTAGTCGTATACAAGTAAGATATAGTTCTATATAATAAATGCTTTTTTCTTATATCATGTATAATTTGAACTGTCAGATTCTTCTATTTAGAGAGAGAGAGAGAGAGAGAGAGAGAGAGAGAATATGACGTGTCGTTTTACAGCCCAAAGTAAATTAAATCACATCTTTGAGAGCACCTGGAATTACTGCTGTCTTATGAAATAAGGAGAACTGCTATAGATGAGTACAGTAAGGACGTTTGCAGATAAATGAGTACATTTATATATTTAATAAAAACTGAAATATACCAAGGGAGATTTCAAAAGTGTTTCTTAAAATTTGTGTTAATGGGAATGCATTTAACAATATACAAGTATATCAGATAAATAGTGAACACATTATTAGTTTGTATATGCTTGCATCAAGATATTTTCAAAGATAGGGATAAGGGACAAACGATACCTTCCAACTTTCGAACTGAGAAGTGATCACCCCCATCACGTTATTCTTAAGAGAAGAATTACAGCCTTGTTACTCTGCAGACGAAGATTTAAAACACTTTACACTTGTTATACCTTTGTAAAACACTGAACCTCTATTGTGGTCCCACCCAAGCACCGGTTGTCTCGACTAAACAAACTTAAATCTACAGTGCACATGTATGCATGCATACTAACTTGACTCATTACATACATATCCCTGATGTCCTGTAGAAGAATATATCTTAAGATATGTTTCATATATTTCTACATTTGTAAAACTTTGAACCTCTTATCTGAACCTTGCTGTGCTACAGAAGATAAATTTTATTATAACCTCCCCCCAATATATATGTCATACCTTGATTTCTATTGTTGCCCTATTCGAACCCTAGCAGGGGAGGGACACTGGATCTGCACTAAAAAGCTTTTACATGAGTTGTCACGTTTCTGACGGTTCCTGAGTAGATTTTGTGACCTTTTTACATTATTTCTTGGAAAGGCTTTGTCTTCAGTTTGAACAAAATTTTATGCCCCTTCATGTATTTTTTCTTCTTGGCAAGTTTGGTTGAAATTAGCTGGATAAATGGTTATGGACAAGATGAGAATGCAAAACGTTCAAACCAAGCATACATACCAGTAGGCACACAGACACACACCGTCTTAAGTTTGTTTAGAAAAGCTCAGCTGAGCTTCAAGAAAACAGTAAGATATCTAACACTCGTATCACAAGTGATTTTGATTTTAAAAATGAGGTTTTTTAAACTTGTAAAACAAGATTTGATTGTGAAACACTGATGCCCCCGTATGGCAGCTTATGGCGAAGCTTAAAGTTTCTCAAATGCAAGTCAAACTCCAGGTTAAGAGATCAAAAATGTTGGTATCCAAAGAAAGGTCCTGTCTCGAGGAATATACCTGTGAAATTTGAAAGCCCTGGATCCAACTGTTCAAAAGTTATGGTTAAGGTTAAAGTTAAAAGTCAAATGGGGCCCCAAGGGAAGGTCTTGTCACAAGTTCGTGAAATGTTAAAGTCCTAGAGCCAAACGTTCACATGTTATGGTCAAGGTTAAAGTTTTTTAAAAGTAGGTCAAGCTCCAAGGTCAAGGTCAATGCCAAAATTATTGGTATCTAAAGGAAAGTCTTGTCCCAAGGAATGCACATGTGAAGTATGAAAGCGTAGCACCAAATGTTTAAAAAGTATGACAAAGATTAAAGGTTTTCAAAAGTAGGTCAAACTCCAAGGTCAAGGTCAAAGTGGTTGGTATCCAAAGGAAGGCCTTGTCACAAGGATTACATATGTGAAGTATGAAACTCCTAACACCAACCATTCAAAAGTTATGGCCAAGGTTAAAGTTTTTCATAAGTTGGTCAAACTCCTAGGTCAAGGTCAAGGTCAAAGGGTCAAAGTGGTTGGTATCCAAAGGAAGGTCTTGTCACAAGAATTACATATGTGAAGTATGAAAGCCCTAGCACTAACCATTCAAAAGTTATGGCCAAGGTTAAAGTTTTTCAAAAGTAGGTCAAACTCCTAGGTCAAGGTCAAAGGGTCAAAGTTGTTGGTATCCAAAGAAAGGTCTTGTCATAAGGATGACACATGTGAAGTTTGAAACCCCAAGCACCAACCGTTCAAAAGTTACGGCCAAGGTTAAAGTTTTTCAAAAGTAGGTCAAACTCCAAGGTCAAGGTCAAAAGGTCAAAGTTGTTGGTATCCAAAGGAAGGTCTTGTCACAAGGAATACATAAGTGAAGTTTGAAACCCCAAGCGCCAACTGTTCAAAAGTTATAGGCAAGGTTAAAGTTTCAAAAAAATTTGCGAAAGTGGGTTATACTCCAAGGTCAAAAGGTCAATATGATGGTACCCAAAGAAAGGTCTTGTCACAAGGAATACACATGTGAAATATATGAAAGTCATAGCTCCAAAAGATCAAAAGTTATGGGCAAGGTTAAAGTTTTTGGGGACAAACAGACAAACAGACAGACAGAGGGACGGACAGGGCAAAAACTATATACCCCCGAATCTTCGATACGAGGGCATAACAAAAACTATATACCCCCGAATCTTCCATACGGGGCATAAAAACCAAAGACTCATTGATTAATAACTATATACCACCCGCCTTTCAAGGGGTGGTTGGGGGGGGGTATAATAATAATAACACTCCCTTCAAGGCTTGAAAATTTTTACATTTATAAATCATAGCAAGGGCTTAACAAATTTATCCCAGTTAATTAATAAAATTCCATAGGGCCAGCAAGAGGGCTCTGCTGTTACATGCATGGCTTTAAGAATACACCCAATTCTTTCGAAGTAACTAGTGATAGGAATCCGTGATCCAATTTTACCCAAGACAGCTCTGTCCACAGAGCAAACTGCAGCATAAGTTTAGGGAAACACACAAAGAAACGTACACATTCACATTCAAACACTCACACACCACATTAATGTCAAAAACACGAATACACATTAGATTTCAATCTCGTGTTCGTCATTAAACCATGCCATACAGTATAATGACCTATAATGACTTCATACGGAGATGATATGCAATTGTGTCATTACGGTGTAGTAATCGAAGACGTCGGTTGTCGTTGCAAATGCTTGCTCAAGCTGACGATGACATACAAACGCATGCATTGGTTGACCACAGTTATCCTATAGCATGTGCCTATGTTGTAAAGACGTGGAGTCAAAAAATTGTGTTGGTTTTTAATAAAAGATAGAAATCCAAATGACTTATTAGTAGCGCATTTGCTCATTTCCTCGTCCAATGATGATGCAGTCTGTAACATAACAGACGTACATATTTTGAAGTTGTGATTTCAGCAAATAGATCGCGATACTTTTTGTTCGTATTTGCCCTGAAAACCTTAAAATACAGTGTCCATGGCATCAAAGCACGTGTTCTCCTAACCTGGAAAAAAAATCTTGAAAATTTTAAATGTATGTCATAATAATGGGTGAGTCCCCAAAAGTGGATACAGGACCTCAGGAATTTTTTTGCCATGTAAGCTTAAAAATACAGTTTCCATGACATCAAGTCACGTTTTTTTCTAATCTGGTAAAGACATCATTTTAAAATGTTTTGTCATGTAAGCTTATGTTTTTTTTTCACACCTGAGGCCCATTTAATTAACAGTCTGTATCTTCTTGCTACCTTTTAAAACGTCTCCTGTTTTTAAATATCACACAACTCTTGTTCCTAACAGTATACAATAGAAAGAATATCAAACAGTGCTTATGTACAATAATAGTTAGTATCTAGTATCTATTTAAAATTATTTCCATGTACAATGTATATATATGCAAGCTTTTGGCAAAGTAAACAAGCATATCTGGA